ACGGTGACCCAGTTCACGATTTAAGCAACTACAGACCTACACTTTTAAAAACAAGCCAGTAGTAGTAACTAGGTAGAAGCCAGTAACTGCTTGTTACATATGTCACTAGGTACCCAGTAACTATAGGTAGTAATGGTCTAGCTAGTGGCGGTTACAAATCAACCTAATATTTTTCGCTATCTTTAGCATTGCAACTGGCACTAAATCTCACAAGACCCAGGTGTTAACGTCAAATTCAGAATCGCCAAAAAAATTAAGATCGCTTGGATCGATAATTCTTAACGCTGTTTTCATTGACATTCGCACACATATTATACATAAAACATAGACACGGAATTATAAAACACATAGGGCACACACGCACAATAAGCACGCGACGACACGCTAACCCAATCCCTGCCCCCAATGGCTACCCATGTGCCTTTTATACTGATCATCTGAAAGAAATCGGTTGGTCAGTGACTACCTCAACTGTAAACGATGTTACAGGTATGGTGCTGCTTTCGCTCCAATATTGTTGTCCAATATTGTTGCTAAATATTTCAAAGAATGCATCTCTTACTAAGAAGTAACGGTACGCACAGTAATTATTTGCGACCACCTATAAAGCAGTGTCCGCATAGGTTCCCGGCAGCTATGTTCTCGCTTCCCCGCATGACAGTTACTGCCTATTGCGCATTTGAGGTATATATAGTAAATATCTACAAAAAAGGTAGCAACGGTCAGAAAAGTGTAGTAACTGTCACAAAAATTTAGTAACCGCTGCAGTTATTAGTTTTATTATATTTTCTCAAAGAGTGTATTTCCGTGATTTCAGCCTTAGCGAAGGTATGCTGAACGTATTATAAATAAAGGACTTGCCAGTTTTCCGAATTCATACAATATATTAGTAAAAAAAAATTAGGTTTTCAGAAGAATAAGACCCTAGAAACTGCACTTTTTTGATAAAATAACAATTTCTTGAGAACACAGAACATAAAAACTTTACACTTGCCATATTTCTTGATTATAAGAAGGCTTTCGGTTGCGTTAAACATGACACACTTAAGAAGGCTTCAGTTCTGCGGACTACGTGCAGTTGAACTGACGTTGATAAAAAAAAAAAAAAAAAAACTACATCACTTCCACAACAGTAAAAACGGAGTAAATTCAGAACTTCAGTACATCAAATATTGGGTCCTCCAAGGATCTCTTCTGGCGCCTATTTTATTTTTGTTATATACAAATGACATCGTAAACATGCAGGAAAGTTCGAATATCTTCTTATATGCAGAAGATACAGATATTTTATTATCCAGTGTTGACATAAATGAACTCTTAAAATGGTCAAAAAATAGGTTGTCGTGTTTAGGCTCGTGCCTTAAATGAAATAAATTTTATTTAAACACAGGTAAGACAGAATGTTCGGCAAAATGTCTGGCAGTGGCGAGCCTCGAGTGTCACTTCTAATCTGCTCGCGCAGGTCCCTGGCCCCGAGTGGAACCACTCCGTCATCATCCGATGACGAGACCACCCCGTCACGCAGCTAACGAAGACCAATTGGCGACACCATCAGCATAATCGTCCATAAAAAGGAGCCAGCACACCGGGCTTAACTTCAGTTCGGCAGTGGCACGCATCGAAAATCACTTCTAATAATCTGCTTCCGCAGTTCCCTGGCCACGAGAGGAACCACTGCTACAAACACCACCTCGTCACCATCTGACCTTGAGACCACCTTGTGACGCAGCCAATGAAGACCAAGGCAACACCACCAGCATAATTGCCCATAAAAAGGAGCCAGCATACCGGCCTGAACTTCAGTTTGGAAGTAGCGAGCATCGAGGAGCTCTTCTAATCATCTGCTTCCACAGTTCCCTGGTTAGGAGAGGAACCACTGATACAAACATCACCTTGTCATTATCCGACACTGAGACCACCTCGTGACGGAGCCAACGCAGACCAAGGTGACTTCACCGGCAGAGTTAACTATGAAAAGGAGCCAGCACACTGGCCTGAACTTATGTTAGGCAGTGGCTTGCATCAAGAATTACTTCTATAATCATCTATTTCCACCCGTAAAAATGTACGTATATTTTCTTACAAAAAGTGTCGTAAGTTGTGATGGGAATGGATAAGGAAGGAACTCAGAATTCCGGAGCGGTGGTTGTAAGAAGAAAGATGTTATTTACAGAGTAAGGAATTAAAAATAAAAGTCAGATAGAGTAGGAAAACACAGTTACGAGAGTCATCAAAATATGTACAAAGTTCAGTCCGCCGACTTCGCTTACGGCCCACACGATGTTATTGCCGAGAAGACGCCTCGTTGTCGTAACGTTTTGGTTCAGGAGCCTGGCAGGCTGGGTCGGCCCAGGCGTAGGGTTGCTGGCTGCAGCTTGGCTAACGGCGGCGGTCCACGGTGTGCAGGTTCAAAGTCCCCACCGGCCTGTTGGCGCCCGTCGGAATCTTCCTAGACTGCCGGGACCGCTGGTGTTGAGCCGGGTGCCGATGCCCAACCGCCTTTGTCGAGCGCCTCGAGCGTGTGTCACGTTCACTCTCCTCGTGTTGTCCTCCTCTTCTTTTTTCTTATTCTCATTCCCTGATACGGTCTTGCAGTCTTCTTCATCTTTGGTTATTCATGTGTTGACAGCGTTCATCTGCGTTGTCTTCCTCGTCGTTTGTTCAGCCCATATCATCACATTCACCCCCCTTTTAAAGACAATTGTTTAAATAAGATCGAACAACACAAAGTAAAGACCAAAATGTTACACACTCTGGAAAAGGAAAAAAAAACAATTGTTTCACCTAAATAGATGCACTCACAACTATTTGAGTAATCTCATCCTTTACGGAAGCGTATTATAGTCGGCTCAAATAGTCAGCCCCAAAGTTCTGACTGCCCCGAATGTACATGACATGAAAATCGTATTCAGCCAGCAGCAGACTCCATCGCAGCACGCGACTGTTGAGTTGTTTGGCAGAGTGAATGTATTGTAAGGGTTGATGGTCGCTTTGAACCGTGAAGTGTTTTCCAAACAGAAATAGGTGAAATTTCTGCACCGCCCATACAAGGGCGAGACACTCTCGCTCGATTGCTGAATATGCAACTTCTCGCGGCAACAACTGCCGGCTAGCATACGCAACAGGGTGCATCATCCGATCGTGCTCTTGCATTAGCACAGCACCCAAGCATCTTCCCGAAGCGTCTGTTCTCAGGATGAAAGCCCTCGAAAGATCCGGAGACTTCAAAATCGGTTTGTTGGAGAGGGATTTCTTTAGCTCCTCAAAAGCTTTGGCGTGTTTGTCTTCCCAGATGACTTTGATGGGTGCTTTTTTCTTTGTCAGTTCCGTTAGAGGGAGCGACGTCTCAGCGTAATGGGGGATAAATTCCCGGTAATATCCCGTTAATCCTAGGAACGATCTGACTTCCGTCTTTGTTTGCGGTCTCTTAGCGCCTTGAATTTTCTCCAAAGTCTCGGTTAACGGCTCAAACGTTCCTTGTCCTACTCGATGTCCGAGAAATGTTATCCGGGAGAAGCCGATCTCTGTCTTCTTTGGCTTGATGGTAAGTCCAGCTTGTTTTACCCTCGTTAAAAATTGGCTCAGGGTTTTCGCGTGTTCCTCCCAGTTGGAAGTTGCGATTAGTACATCATCAAAATAATGATGTGTGTTTGGTACTCCATCCAGGACTTCCCTCATTAAACGAGTGAATACAGCTGGGGCTGTTTTTATGCCGAAGGGCATGAACTTGAAACGATATAACCCTGACATCGTTGAAAACGCAGTCGCGTCCTCCGATCCGTGTGCCATTGGCACTTGCCAGTAACCTTTCGCAAAATCAAATTTGGAAAAGTACTTCTTTGTGCTGACTTGAGCAAACATCATGTCGACTCGGGGTATCGGTTCGCAATCAGGTACGAGAACCTGATTTAGTTGTCGAAAATCGATGCATAATCGGGTCGTCTTGTCCTTCTTCTTTACTACCACCACGGGTGAGTTGTAGGGCGAGTCGCATTTCTCAATTATGCCGAGACTCAGCATGTCACCTATCTCTTTTTCTACTGCTTCCTGTAGCGCAAAGGCGAGTGGGTACTGTCGAACTTGAACTGGCACATCTGTTATTAGTTTCAGCTGGCATTTTACGAGATTGGTTCGACCCGGAAGATCCGAGAATACTTCTTGGAACGACTCTAGCAATTCTTCCACCTCTGTGACCTGTTCTTCTGAGAGTTCTTCTGATTTCCGCACATCATTGTGGTCTTGCTGACGCCGAAGGCCGACATGGGAGACCTCCTGTTCTTCACCTTCCTCTTCTACTGCGAGGCCAGCCAAGACTTGTTCAGGAGCGCCCAGAACTTCTCTCTCCTCATACTTTTTGAGCATATTGACGTGGAATAATGTCGTCTTTCCTCCAAGGTCTATTACGTAATCCAGTTCATTCCTTCTCTCCACCACTCGGAATGGTCCCTTCCATTGCAGAATCAGTTTATTTTTGTCAGTTGGTAACAAGATAAGCACTGGATCTCCCTCTTGCAGTTCGCGTACACGACTCTTCTTGTCGTAATATCCCTTTTGCGTCTTCTGGGCTTTTCTTAGTTCTTCGTGGGCAACTTTGCACGTGTCTTCCAGCCTCTTCCGAAGATCGACCATGTACCCGTAGGTTGTTTTCGTCTCAGGGTCGATGTTCTCGTTAGTCCACAGTTCTTTTAAAACTGCCATGGGACCCCGAACATATCTCCCGTAAAGCAGATCGAACGGGGAGAACCCCAAACTACTTTGTGGGACTTCCCGATATGCGAAAAGCAACGGGGTCAGGTACCGATCCCAGCATCGTGGCTTTTCTTGGCACATCCTCCGAATCATTTGTTTTAATGTCCCATTCAGCCGCTCGACAAGTCCATTACCCATAGGATGGTAGGGCGTGGTAGTCAACTGTCTCAGCGATAACAGGCGACTGATCTCCTTCATCAAGCCTGACGTAAAGCAGGACCCCCGATCACTTAGGACTTCTTGGGGTAGGCCTATACTTGTGAAAACATTTGAAGAAGGCCCTCTGCAACCTCTGTTGTCTCCATGCTCTTCAAGGCGACAGCATCTGGATATCTGGTGGCAAAATCAATCATCGTCAATATATATCTGTTGCCATTTTCTGAACTTGGCTTGATTGGTCCGATGATGTCTATGCCGACTCGTTGGAAGGGTGTCCCTATGATTGGCATGGTTCCAAGGGGCGCCCTGGCCACCAAGTGCTTGGGAACAGTCCTCTGGCAAATGTCACACGATTTTACAAATCGTTTTATTTCTGACGTTACTCCCGGCCAGTAGAATTCTTCTTGTACACGATCAGTGGTTTTCTTTGTTCCCTGATGGCCGGCCATAATTCCTTCATGTGCCAATTTGAGCACGATCATTCGAAAGTCTTTTGGTACTACTAACTGCTCCCATTCCTTACGGGACGGTGTTCGATATCTCCTGTAGAGGATTCCGTCACGTAACACGAATTCCGATTCGTGTGCCTTTTCTGAAACGAACTTTCTCCCGATGGAAGCAAAGCACTTATTTAGCGTTTCGTCGTTCTCCTGAGCCATTCTCAGCTTTCTTTTATCAACTTCTGTTGGCTCCACCGACATGACTGGTAACTCGGAAATGTTTTTCTTGCCTGGCGCCTTTCCTAGCGCCCCTGCGCAATCACTTACTTTCTCCAAGACCTTACAGTCTTTCTCTTCACGTTTCTCGCTCACCGCGAGTTCTTTAGCAGTTTCCCCTTTTACTGCCGTCTGATCAGTATCGATTTCCGCTTCTCTCGCTTCAGACACTATTTGTCCTCTGTCACAATCCCATTCTTCATCGGGATCATCGATCCTCCTCACTCCTTTAATATTTCCGAGTACCAAGTCATATAACGGGTTATCCATACACTTCGCCACCAAGCTGCCTGTGAAGTATGGTGTTTTTACTTCCATCTCCGCCTCTGGTAAATATTTAATCGTCCTGTCCAGAAGAAAAACTGGACTGGAAAAGCCAGTTAGCTTGTTATCTGGAACCAGGCTTCTTTTTACAACAACTGCGTTGCAGCCGCTGTCTCTGAGGACCGTTACCGTTCGACCTCCCACTTCTCCTCTCACCACTGGCATATCGTCTACTAAGAAACGTGGAGGTTTTCCAACTGCCATATTTAATACTGGTATTTTGTCCCCGTTTTTTAACAAGACATAAGCCTTTTCTGATTCGGTTTCGTCAGCGGTCGTTAACACACAGGAAGCCTGGGAAGCCTTGTCTTTTTCTCGGTCTGACTTCCAGTTACAAGCTTCTGCTTTGTGCCCAGCCTTTCCACACCTCCAACACGCAGAAGGACGCGGAGCCTTGGAACTCGTCCAGCAATCGGCTGCTCTATGACCAGGTTTGTTGCAGAGGTAGCATCGACTGGCTACCCTTATAGAATGCTGTGTTTTATTGCCTTCTTTCCCACAGCCTCCACTCTTGTGGTCCGAATCATCTCTCAATTTAAAGAGGCTAGTCTGTCCCTGTGCTTCAAGAAAGTGGTCTGCGGTTGTCGCCAGATTCTCCAGGGACCTGCAGTTTCTTTCTTTTAGGAATATAGATAGCTTTGTGTTGCACCTCTTCAGGAACTGCTCTGAGACTATCAGGTCCCTTAACCCTTCATACGTCTTAGGGGTTTCTCCTGTCTCGATCCAACGGTCAAAGTATCCCAATAGTCGAGCCGCGAACTGTCTCCCTGTCTTCGCATCTTCGGGTTTGCCATCCCTGAATTTCTCGCGGTACCCTTCGGTCGTATAGCGAAACCGCTGTAGCAGGCTTAGCTTGACTTTTGCGTAGTCTAAGGACTCCTCAGGAGTCATCCTGCCAACTACAGTCAGGGCCTCGCCGGTGAGGCACAAGCTTAATGACAATGCCCATTTGGCAGGAGGCCAGTTTTGGCTGCTTGCGACTCTTTCAAAACGCTGGAGGAAAGCATCCAAGTCGTCTCGTTTATCATTGAATGGTGGAATGAGTTTATGAGGGCTGCGACAATTGGCTTGCGCTTCCTGATTTTCTGCCCCACCGGTACCTATCTCGTTTTCATTGCGATCTGAACTGGTACTGTCTCGCAGTCGGAGTCGCAGTTCTAACACTTCCCGCTCCTGTTGTAATCTACGGATCTCGCGATCAGCCGCGTCCTGTGCCTCTTTAGCTGACTCCCGTGCTTCGTCTCGTAACAGGTGGCGTTCTTCGCGTTGCCGGTTGCGTTCTTGCTCAACCCAGTCGCGAAGCTCTCCCCCAGTATATCCCAGTTCTTTACCCAGAGCTACTATCTTTTCCGGATCCATACTCATTTCTCTTACAGCACCGTCCTGGAATTCTGCTCTCTATAAGATGTTAGGAAGAGAGGTCCTGTCGCGGACGCCAGATTGTGATGGGAATGGATAAGGAAGGAACTCAGAATTCCGGAGCGGTGGTTGTAAGAAGAAAGATGTTATTTACAGAGTAAGGAATTAAAAATAAAAGTCAGATAGAGTAGGAAAACACAGTTACGAGAGTCATCAAAATATGTACAAAGTTCAGTCCGCCGACTTCGCTTACGGCCCACACGATGTTATTGCCGAGAAGACGCCTCGTTGTCGTAACGTTTTGGTTCAGGAGCCTGGCAGGCTGGGTCGGCCCAGGCGTAGGGTTGCTGGCTGCAGCTTGGCTAACGGCGGCGGTCCACGGTGTGCAGGTTCAAAGTCCCCACCGGCCTGTTGGCGCCCGTCGGAATCTTCCTAGACTGCCGGGACCGCTGGTGTTGAGCCGGGTGCCGATGCCCAACCGCCTTTGTCGAGCGCCTCGAGCGTGTGTCACGTTCACTCTCCTCGTGTTGTCCTCCTCTTCTTTTTTCTTATTCTCATTCCCTGATACGGTCTTGCAGTCTTCTTCATCTTTGGTTATTCATGTGTTGACAGCGTTCATCTGCGTTGTCTTCCTCGTCGTTTGTTCAGCCCATATCATCACATAAGTGTTTGCGTTTTACTGCCAAACACAGCTCTTTTTAAGGTGCTCTTCTCGAAAGTATCGAAGTGCTGTGTCGTCTGGCGTTGCTCTCGCTTTCCCGATCCCAGACATGAGTAAAGAAACTGGAGGGGAAATTGTCAGGGCTATTGATGAAAAGCTACGAACTATAAAAGACAGTGTAAAATACTGCAGTGAAACGAGTGATGGATTGAACGAAATGAAAAAAAGGTGCAAGAAATGCGAAGGGAAATGCTAGAATTGTCCGAACGAAATGAAGAATTAACCTCTGAAAATCGCAGGCTAAGTGACGAGATAAAGAACTCGAGCAGCACATGTGCTCTAAGAACCTCGAAAGAAAAGGCGTGCCCGAGGAGGGTGACACGCACGACATTATCAGTGGAATTGAAAACCTCCTAAACGCGTCAATATTAGACATTGATATTGTCGTGTGTCATTGCGTACTTACCTTCAGGACATCGGACAAAATATAATTGTCCGATTTGTAAAACGCACAAAACGATATAAAATCCTACAGAAAGCAAGAAGCAGAGATTCATGACCAAAGACCCTTGACTACGGGGGGCACAGCAGCCCCGTGTACGTTAACGAACGTCTAACGGGTTCAAACAATAAACAATACTGAATTTTGCGATCAATAAAAAAAAAAAAAGAGCGTAGGTTTGCAATATGCATGGGCCTCCGGTGGGAGGGTCTTCGCGCGCAAAAAGGATGGCGCGAGAGTCATCATAATCGCTTGCATGTCTGACGTCGAAAAAATAACAAACTAATCACCGTGAACAAGCCCCGAAGGACACACGAGATGATCATGGCCGAAGATATTGAGACAGGCTGTGTCTATTAGGATTGCCAGTCATTCAATAAAATATATAAGGAAAATGAAAGGCAGTTTTCCGCAATACATTGGAACACGAGAAGCCTTTAAAACAAAGTTGACAATCTTGAAATACTTTTACATTCTTTAAATGTCGAATTTCTGCTTTGGATCTTTTTCAACTAAGAAAGGTTACAGAACAATGAAAGATTTTGGCACCTCAAAATAAACGAAAAAAGCGTTAACCTCAAAATAAACGAAAAAAGCGTTAATTATTTTTGGTTGCCTGATAGAGCAAGCAAACTGGGAAGACGTTGATAAAAAAGAAAACATTATATAATGCATGTCTATAAAAGATTCCAGATTAAATTTAAACGCTGCTATACGATGCAGCATTTTCTCTGTGTAAAACTAAAGCAAAGCCTAAAAGATTCGACACCGTGGGTGACTGCTGACCTATTTAAAATAATAACAAAAAACCGCAAGATACTATGCCTTCATACATCATTGTGGTCCGTTTATTGGCTGAGTTAAAAAAAAATAAGAAGTTGAATTCTGACCTAGAACAAACAAAGTGTGAGTAATATAAAAATAAATTTGTGCATATTAATACCAGAGAAAGTCGGGACACAGGAAATTATTTAACTAACAGAAAGCAAACGCGCAGTTTAATGTTAAGGAACTAATTATCGTTTATTGTAAGTGTTGCAAGGAAAGAACTCGCCGACGAAATGAATCGACAGTTTATTAGCGTTGGTACGAACATGAAAACTAGTACAATCACAAATCAATCTATTAAAACAGGGAATCAGAGTCTGCAATGTTCTTTCCAACGACTCCTCATAAAATTGATAAAATAATGATTGGTTTAAAAAACAAGGTAGTCGCTGGTGAAGATCAAATAAAAGCTTTACCGATTAAACATACCACATGCATACTAAGTCCCGTATTATCCCATATAATAAATAAGATACTGGAGTTTGGCTATTTCCCCGACGAACAAAAATAGCAAAAGTAATTTATGTGTACAAGGACGAAGGAGAAACCATAATTAATAATTATAGGCCAATATCAGTTCTACCGATGTTTTCAAATATTTTTGATAGGTTAAATAATAATATCAGTAATTTTTTTTCTCGAAAATTTCACATCATATGTCAGGCTCATTATGGATTCGAGAAAACAAGTCTGAGGAATTGGCTCTCATTAAAAAAAAATATATATATATAAAAAAATGAAAATATAAACAGCGAATTAGTCACACTTGGTTTGTTTTTGGACCTAGAAAATGCCTTTGATACTGTACTACGTGATATTTTACTTGAGAAACTTGAACTTGGAGTACTGGTAGTAGCGTTACCACTAAATAAAACATATCTCACAAATTGGTACCAATATGTAAGCCTAACTGATACGTCGTCTAGAAAAGTGAAAATGCAGCATGGCGTTCCCCAAGGTGCCATTTTAAGGCCAATCCTATTCTTTGTGTACGTAAACGGTATAACAGAAATACCAGGGTGCCCTGAGATGATCATGTACGGCGACGACACGAACGGGTTTTTTTTTTGTTTTTGTCTTTTTGGTGAGACAAAAATAGTAGAAAAGTAAGCTAATTAATACTTTTTACAACTTTCTAAATGGTTAGAAATAAATCTCTTAGGTTTAAATACGAGTAAAACTAAGTATGTAACATTTAAGCAAATAAATGAGCGAGATGACGGTACTACCAAGATAACATTTAAAGGTACGCTGCTGGAACAAGTGACAGAACAAAAAGTTTTGAATATATCGTTTGCAGAGGACCTGCCATGGAATGTACATTTTAATAAACTCTAAGCTGGCTTATTCCGATTCACTTAAAGCATTTAAAGCAAAACAAAATCAACTGCCCACCTGGCATAAACAGGCATTATACTATTCACATTTTTAGTCCAAAATCAGCTAGAGCATCATGCTTCGGGGAACAACTACAGCTACAAACTATAATAAAATAATTATTTTTACATTTTAGACAAAACCCCGAGACTGAGGGGAGGAAGGGGGGGGGGGGGGGGGGGGGGGGCAACACAACATGAAGTCTCAAAGCTGAAATTTGTTGGACAGAATATCGTGGTTTTATCGGGTGCAGGTGCCTCGAAAACCAAAAGGAAGGAGAAAGGGAGAGGAGGGACTTCTTTTTCCCAAACGCACAAGAGAGGGAGGACATTGACCAAATAGCACACCGGTACAGTTCTAACTCAAACAAAAGTGGGAGGAGAAAGAACTCTTAACCCACCTCGGTGAGTTACTGATACACATCAAAAAAGAAAGGGCTGTGGGATGATGACCCATTAGGGGAAAGATCGAACGTTTTGTGCGCTTTACATCGCCATAAATTTCGCAGAAGTCGGCTGATAAGCATGAAAACCTTTTGTAATTTTGGTATTCCTAACAATGACATGAAAGAATGAGTACAAAGCAGCCAGCATCTTAATTTTTTTTTACCATACTCAAAGAAGATATAAGGACGTACCGTGTAAAAAGTGAGACGAATGAAAGTGGAAATTTTATAAATTACTGACATCGTGAAACAGTGCTTTCACGCTGGTGCCGGAGCCTGTGAAACTAGGGGATACTCCTGCCCGCTGCTCAACCGCCCCGCCCCCCCCCCCCCCCCCCTTTTTGCCCCCTCTTGCCCTTTTTACTGGCGACGTGCGCGACCAAAAGCGTCGGTGTGGCCGACCCTTCACGATTGGTCAAGCGCTCACTATGACGTGCTAAGTATCACGGGCCAGGTAGGCGCTACTCTCCATATGGGAGTTCGCGCGCTCGACAAGAGTGCACCGCCGAATGTAAACCTTTTTTCCCCATGTACCCCTTCTCCTAATGAAGCCATGGCGCCACCCCTATGAAAATAAAGTTAATCATCATCATCATCACTAATGCAGATAAAAAGGAATATCAGACAGCCAAGTTTGACGGTGTTGGTTTAAGTCCGCGATGACAACAAGCTTCCACCGTGCTTTTTACACACACCGTCGACTTCGTCGCTGACGATCG